GATGGTCACACACTGTTTAAATTTAAAAAGAATTAATTTAGAGTTTTTTCGACATCTAAATATTCGGCCTACTCTTTCGATCGTGTTTCGCAAGTTTCAAGTGGTTTGGTTGCATTTTGAGAGAGATATGAGTTTTTCCTTTCTTACACTCATGCTAAAGGCACTAATTTTGTCCAGTACCTATGTTCACTAGGTTTTCTCAAAACAGACATTTTTCTGCAAACAAGTCTTGAAAATTTCAGTATAGTAATTAATATCTTTCTATTCATTTTTGTATAGAACGATGCAACAGCCCCCGGTTAAAAAAAACAAAAAAACACCTCTCTAGTCATCTTCTATGAAAGGCCACTAATAAAAAACAGTCGCGACCATCTCTTTACGTTGAATGTTGTCGTTATCTCTAGGTCGTTCCTATTCTTTGTTTACTCCACTGTGCGAAGCTGTGGGCAGTCTGTTCCATTTTATCGTCGACCAAAAAATATATTACGGTTTGACAGATAAATTAATTATCTAGGACCTGTCAAAGCTTGACGGTTGAAATAGACTTTCGTTTCGTAAACGCAGGAAGGTCATTGAAAAACTTCAAACAGTCTTTCAAAGTTTCCGAACGGAAAAGTTTTCTGATCAATGAAGAAATTTGAAAATTGTGTCACGACATAGATTGCCAAGGCAATAGAAACCAAAGATAGTTGCCTTAAACGGTAAACTTTCTAGAAGTTTCAGGTATTCTGCTAAGAACTACGATGGTTTTCAGGTTTTCCAAAAGATTTTATGTGAAATCACACTCCTGTGATTCCTGTGAAAAACCGCTTACTTTAACAATAGTATCATTATTAAATATTTCATTTAATAATTTAATATTTTGTCGAATATTTGGAACTGTTGCATGAATAATAATATCTTCATTTGGAGTCGAAAATTGCATACATGTAATATGTGACAAATGATTAGCAAACTAAAGTAATCAGCAATTTAATAGCAACTTAAAAACGAGCAAGATGACCAACTGTCTTACTTCCAAATCAAAGGAAATAAACTTTTCTTGCAACAATTTTCGAATTATTGCAGGAACATCTTCAACTGACTTGGCCACGGTCAGCGGCGTTTGCTTCAAATCTTTTGGAAACTAAAAAAATGCGATAACAATAGGAAACTGATTTTCGCCTATTTAACTAACCGAAATATATGGAAATTTTGATTGGGATAGCATTGGTTTCTTTATAAAATAAATTGATCTGTAACAAATGAGACAAATTTGTAAATGAATAAGAAAAAAGAGCGCTAGGAATGGACACAGGGCTTTTATAGCTGAGCCCTACAACTAAAAATTTTTAGAGCACGTTCACTTCAGCGTGATGATTCATCCGATGAAGACTTCGACGACTGAAATTATTTTCGGTTGTCTGTAAGTCACACTTTAATATAAAATGTTTAATGGGAGCGGAAGTATACAAACATCCTACAAAATCATTTTCTTCAATGCATTTTACAATTGAAATACAAAATAATAAATGACTAAAACTTTAAGTATTTTTATTTGCTTATTTTTTCGTTTCTGTACATGTGCTTTATCATCTCTAAACAAGAAAAAATAAGAAAAAGAAAAATATTTATAGTTAAACAGTCACTCTAACTGTGCATATGTGACTGTGCATACGTGACTGTGCATATTTGACTGTACATCCTTAGTAAAATTCACCAAAAAGATGATACATCTAAAGTTCATGATTTATTATTTTTGTATTACAATATGTAAAATGAATTGATGGTACGACTCTTGATTTTTAGGGTTTTCTTCTAATAAAAAGTGCTGATAGAAAATGGGTGAAGACATTTCTCATTCTGCTTTTTAAAATTTTCATTTTTAATCAAGATTTTTTCACCTTTTATACTTCTGAGAAAAAGCAGACAGCATAAAAAGTTTTGATTATCCTCATCTCACTAAAAATATTTACTGCCGCGCTCGAATCCGCAGTGCCATTTTTGTTCTTATATTCCTCTACATATGTAGTTTTATTTCGATAGTGACAAGTCGCATACCGTAATTAAAAGGAATCCAGACCAAAATTATTTCTGTAAAATTAATTACAGTACTGTCAAACAAGTAAACAAATTCATGAATAATCCCCCATTTAATTGGAGATAGTCATACATTGAAATGCAAACGTGTTCTTCCCACGAAACAATTTGAATCACAATTAGAGCGGTATAAAGTTAGTACGATGATCAAATTAGTTTTTAAAATCAAAACTACTTACCAAGGTAATTTTATATCACTTGTTTAGTGCTTTTATTAATTTTCTTTGTGTCTTCTATTTTAGCTGAACAGTTTTCAAGAAACAAGATACGTATTGATTCTGAATTATATGAATTTTGTTCAAAATATGGAATCGTGAAACAATTGAAAAATGAAACAGATTATTATTTGGTTCAATTTGACGATTATGATTCGTGCGATTATTTAATAATAGACAATTACTACAAACAATTTCAGCTGTTGAATTTAGATATAGAAATTGTTAGAATGTATGATGATGAAATAGATTATCAACGTGAATATGAACGACAAATGAAGCACAAAAATGAACATCATTATGAAAATAGATATTGAAATTAGTAGGTTGCTCTGTATACTGCATGCGAATACATTAGAGGCGTATCAAGTAAGGAATCTATATTTTCACTTCCTGGCAAATTTTAGCAAATGTGTATATACACATTTGCTAACATTTGCCAAGGAGTGGAAATATAGAGATGTATTTTGCATTGAACTAATCAGTGAGAAAGATTGACCGTTTGCTCCTCCATTTGGAGTCGTCAAATATCATTCGTTGTCTATGGATAGTGTATTCAACCTTTGAATGTTGTGTGCGATTTTAACATCGTGTGGATTATTTAATTAATATTTAGAAAATATATGCTGGCATATATTTTGACAATTGTGTATAATTTTGTACGACAAACGCGGACAATGATTATCTTTTGTATAGGATTTTCCCCAATATATAAAGGAATTTTTTTCTCTCAAGTAGCGTGCCTGTAATTCAGAATGTTCACATCAGTTTATTTTTCGTTAACTTATACATGATTAGATAGAGCATATCGAGTTGAGTCGGAATATGTATTTTGAAAGTTTTGAAACAATTGTTTTGTGCTCAGAAAATTTGCACAACTTTGAAGGTGTAAAATGCAAACAAATGTCAACTTTTAAAAAAAGTTAGGTTTTTGACTACCGACTTGAATTGCAGAGTTTCAAACTAAGTTTTACTTATTCACCGAACAAAACCGAGTCGAGATACCTTTTCCGAAAACTCACCAAACACTTTCCTACTACTAGTTCTAATAGTTTCAAACTAAGTCCTACTTATTCACGCAACAAAACCGAGTCGAGATACCTTTTCCGAAAAGTCACCAAACAGTTTCTTACTACTAGGTCTAGTAGTTTCAAACTAAGTCTTACTTATTCACCGAACAAAACCGACTCGAGATACCTTTTCCGAAAAGTCACCAAACAGTTTCTTACTACTAGGTCTAGTAGTTTCAAACTAAGTCTTACTTATTCACCGAACAAAACCGAGTCGAGATACCTTTTCCGAAAAGTCACCAAACACTTTCTTACTACTAGATCTAGTAGTTTCAAACTAAGTCTTACTTATT